ACGGAGCGCCCTCAAGGAGCTGGAGCAGAACGCCAACCACCCGCACCGCCTGGAGATCCAGAACATCTTCCAGGAGGCCCAGGCCCTGGTGCGGGACCAGATCGCGCCCTTCTCCAGCGGCGGCAGCTGCGCGGCGGAGGAGTTCGAAGAAGGCATTCAGGACATCATCCTGAGGCTGACGCACGTCAAGACCGGCGGGAAGGTGTCCCTGCGGAAAGCGCGCTACCACACCCTCACCAAGATCTGCGCGGTGCAGGAGATCATCGAGGACTGCGTGAAGCGGCAGCCGTCCCTGCCGCTCTCCGAGGACACGCACCCCTCCGTGGCCAAAATCAACTGCGTGATGTGCGAGGTGAACAAGGCCAGGGGCACGCTGATCGCCCTGCTGATGGGCGTGGCCAACAACGAGACGTGCAAGCACCTGTCGTGCGTGCTGTCGGGGATGATCGCGGATCTGGACGCGCTGGACGTGTGTGGGCGGACGGAGATCCGGAATTACCGCCGGGAGGTGGTGGAGGACATCAACAAGTTACTGAAGTATTTGGATTTGGAAGAGGAAGCAGATACCACCTATGCGTTTGACCTGGGACAGAATCATTCCATCCTGAAAATAGAAAAGGTCCTCAAGCGAATGAGAGAGGTCAAAAACGAGCTCCTGCAGGCGCAGAACCCTCCCGAGCTGTACCTGAGCTCCAAGACGGAGCTGCAGGCCCTGATCGGGCAGCTGGACGAGGTGAGCCTGGAGAAGAACCCCTGCATCCGGGAGGCGCGGCGGAGGGCGGTGATCGCCGTGCAGACCCTCATCACGCACATCGACCTGAAGGAGGCGCTGGAGAGGAGGAAGGCCTTCGTGTGCGAGGAGCACCCGTCCCACCGGGCCGTCTGGACCATCCTGGCCCACCTGTCGGAGATCCTGGGAGAAGTCCTGTTGTTTGACGGGAACCGGACTGACAAGAACTACATCCGGCTGGAGGAGCTGCTCACCAAGCAGCTGCTGGCCCTGGACGCGGTGGACCCGCAGGGCGAGGAGCAGTGCAAGGCGGCCCGGAAGCAGGCCGTGAAGCTGGCCCAGAACATCCTGAGCTTCCTGGACCTGAAGTCGGACGAGTGGGAGTACTGAGGCCGGCTCTCCCGTCCGGCACGTACCCGACGTGTATGTATTTACGGAGGCTTCCGGTGCCTGAGCCTAAGTGTGGTTTGTACGTGCATATTGCATTCTCAGTATTTATGATTTCAGCAAATTATATTCCGTACCTGCTGCTTTTGATGTCGCAAAAGAAATGTCATTACAGCTCACTGACTTTTCCACGGGATCTGACCTGTACGTTGTGGTGTTAGTTTCTTAATCAGAAAATGGCATTGGGGCAGCTTTTGTAATTTTTAACTTTGTAATTTTTAGCTGCAAAAGCATGAAAGCAGATGTTTCAGAACCTAGAACTAGATCCCGCCTTGCCCGATACTAGGACAGCTGTGAGAAAGGAAGCTTTAGGGTGATTAGAAGGAAGGGCCAAGCACAGAAGTAGTGAGTATGTTTTATTCTGCTAATAAAGCAGGACTGTTCCATTCATGAAGCCTGATTGGTCCCGCCCAACGTCATGGGGTGGGTTGCTTTTACTTTCTGTGGATGGTCTGTTCTTTCATCAACTTCCGTTTGGAAAACAGGCATTTCCCAGGCTCTCTGCATGCAGAGGGGGGTCTTACCTTTGTGTGTGACGTAAGAAAATTATGACCATTCATAGCAAAGAAACCTTTGAAAAAGGGATGACACCAGCTGATACTTCCGAGTGGTTTTGTCTGTCAAGTCTGAACTGACAGTTTTCCTTAGTAATTTGTAAGGATGGGAACGTTTCAGTGGACCTTTAAAAGAATAACAGGGAAACAAAACGCCCAGACCCGTGCAGGATGAGGACTGGAGACTGGTTGCCATGTCAGGTTTCTGGACCTGCGTGACCGGGTCTGGATGCAGCGTGCGGTGGCTGCTCCGGGCACTGGCGCTGCCCCCAGGCAGGCCTGCGAGCAGGCCCAGTGCTGCCTCACAGAGGTGGGCAGGCACTCAGCTTGCTGAGGAAGGTCGCCGTCAGCCACTAGCATCGTCCTGATCGCAGTTGGCGGCCAGGCAGTAAGAGGGCCTCTCGCTCCCATGACCAGCGCGTGGACGTGTCTAGTGCCTGAAGGAGCCAGCCAGGCCCAGTCTGTGAGTGCGGGAAGTGCCGTTCCCTCTGCTGAGAGGGGCACGTGTCTGTAAATTCTCTCCGAGGACCCCAGGTTGCCCGTCAAGAAGCAAAAGACTCAGTTCCCGAAGGTCTGAAGCGCCTTGGTGACGGGTTGGTCCGAGTGTGGTGACTAAGCGCTCCCGGTGTCACCTCTCACAAGTGGCCTGAACTCGAGAAATCCGCCCCTTCAGCCACTGGTGTGGTAACTCATGTAAAAGCAGAGCCTGGGCAGGTGCGGATCGGCCCTGGACGCCCAGAGAGGGCGGAGCTGGGCAGGTCTGGCCGCGCAGTGTTGCCTGATGATTAAAGCCCCGCTAGCTCCTCCTGCAGTGGACTCGCCGATAGTGGGGTCAGAGGGCAGTTGGGTGCCAGGCAGTGAGCCCGCCCACCTGCCCCCCAGCTCCTGGCGGCTGGGGACTGTCCCAGTGCAGGTTGTTGGAGCCCATGTTGGCCAGCCCTTTTAGGGTGCTGTTCTGGGTGATAGTTTTAGGGTCCCCCCAGCACTGGTGGGAGCACCGGGGCGCGGGCCTCCCTGACTCGCTCCCGACATCGCAGCAGCTGCTTGGTGCTCAGTGTCAGAGCCGGAAGCTCAGGGCCGCTCGCACGGTGGTTCTTGGCCAGCAGCGCTGCCCGCGGCTGTGTCCACGCTTCCTGTGGGGGTGGAGCCGGCCCTGCCCAGCTCCGGGCTGTGTGGCCAGACTGCTGCTCGGTGGCACTGGGGATCGCTCACCGCTCACGGGGCCACTGTGGTCACGGAAACAGTCCGACCAACCGTGAGGGATGGGTAAGGCGCGCCTTCCTGTGTCCCTCTGCCCGCTCATGCTGCCCACACTGCGCCCGCCGCGAGGGTCAGCGTTCCCTGCCCCCGAGGGAGTCTGTCATAGATAAGCTCAGTTCCTCCCGTGGCACATGCTTCTGCGATGTGACACGAGGGGAATCTGTGATGGACGGAAAGCCCACCCCGCAGGGTCTGGCCTTGGTCTGCATTCCGTGTAGCCTCTGTTCATGCGAAGCCAGCGGGTGCCTGCTTCCCGGCTGCCTCCGTCCGCCAGGGACACAGGCAGCCTGAGTGGTCACGGAAATAAAGGAATTAACCTGTCGGCCACGAACAGTTTACCGCTGTTTTCCTCAAGCCCTTGGTGAGACACAGTTAACGTAACTCAGCGTGTTTGAGAATTTAACCAGTTTTTCTCATTTGTTTTATTTTGCCAATTTCCACCTGGTTTTTGAGGGTCTAAGTTTATCTGTGCAGTTATTTGAAGCAAAGCTTTTCAGCTCTCCGTCTGGCACTTTAATAGTTGGAGCCACACCTGCCCTTGGCTTGCTGTCTGAGAAGGTGTGTATTCCAGTGTGTGGGTCCTGCCCCTGGTAGCCGTACGACCATTGTAATGGCACGTCTTAAACATTCAGGTTATTTTGAGACACATATTAGCATAACCTTAATTATTAATGAAATAAAAAGCCTCTTCGTTATCTTTGCAGTGGAGACAGGGTGTGAGTCTGAGGTGTGAGTTCTGTTCTCCCGTCACCTTCACTGACGGGGGTGGGTCAGGCCCCGGGCGGACTGCCAGCTCCGGCTGGTGGCAGGAGCCCCGGGTCCCGTCACAGGGAAGGGGTAACCTTCCCATTTAAACCACCAGGACCGGGGAGTGGGGAAGGGCTGCCGCGCCCCGGGAGACCGGCCTTACTCCGCATCTCTCCGAGCCCACAGACCACGGGAGCATCTCCGGCCCTGAGTCCTCCCAGGGCTTCTGAAACGCGGGGTTCCTTAACACCCCCCCCCCCCCGCAGCGAGGACCCTCTCCATCTCCGTCTAGTTGCCTGAGCAATTGTCTGTCTGTCTGTTGAAAACTCGTCACGTGACAGCAGTGAAGTTTGTCTAGTCCTGGCCTTTCCTGCAGGTCCTCTGATCTGACCGCCTGCTGTCCTCCGGGGGAGCGGAGAGGAGCGAGGCAGCCCCCGGCCACGCAAACGCGGGCGCACACGTGGAAAGAAGCACGTTGGACGGGTTCACATGCCATCACGCTGCTGCCCCGAGAAGCCACGCGTGAGGCGGTAAGGGATGCGCACTTGAGCGTGAATACCCGACGGCAGGCAGGACACGGAGGTGCTGAGGGCATCGCAGGGACGGGCACTGCCCCTAAGGCTGGTCAGGACCCGGCGGGGCGCAGTCTGGTCTCAGGGGTGTGTGAAAGCCCCGTGCCTGCCCTGTGGCAGTGCGGACTCAGGCCGCTTCTGGGCGGCCCAGCGCAGGACACCCTTCACAGGAAACGGAAACGCAGCGCGCAGCCTCTGCCCCGAGGCCTGGAACTCCGGCTGGAGATGGGCCTCCAGCTCGTCCTCCAAGCGAGCGTGGGCTTGCCCTCAGCACCCAGCCCTGCCGGCTGCCAGCTCCCCGGCTCCTGGTCTGACAAACAGGACCCGCCTCCCTCTTCACCGCGGTCTCGGCCAGTGCTGGTTAGTGGGTACAGGAACCTTTCCGCCCTCCAGCCACTTCCCGCTGCCAGTCCTCTCACGCTGCTGGGTGCCGGCGCACGGAGGCCGGGCACGTCCCCGAGCCTGGGGCAGCAAGGCCCTTGGTGCTGGCCTCATGGTGCCGCCCACCCTGAAGGCTCAGGCAGGGTTGCGTGGCCCTCAGCTCCCGGGTCCACATGCTTTACTTTCTCTGGGAACCCAGGTTCCATCTTCCCGCCCTCACCCGACCCGGCCACTCAATGGAAGGGCAGGGGTCCTGGGACCAGCGCGGCCCAGGGGTTGCCTGCGGGTCAGGGCCTGTGGGCGGGGTAGGGTGCAGGCTGACCAGCAGCCAGTGCAAGGCCTCTGAGGTTGGGGAGGTTCGGGGGGCGGCTGTGCTGTGGGGGAAGCCACTGGGGACGCAGAATTGCATCCTGGACCAGAGAGCCAGGTACCAGTGACCCTTTGGGGCGGGGCACCTCCAGGGGAGCCCCCACCCCAGGCCCAGCCTACAGTAGCTCCACCAAACCTGGCCTGGTGGCTTTGACCACGACTGCCTGCCCAGGGGCTAGACCTGTGCCCTGGCAGCCTGCAGAGGGTACCCAGGGGTACCCTCCAGTGAGACCCCAAGAGGCTGGTCTGACCCCCACTCCACCTGCCCGGGGGGTCTGCCAGGCCCGGTGAAGAGGGAGGACCCTAAACAGCTCCGCCCGCCCGCCCTTCCGCTGCAGCACCTCCCTGACCTTGAAGT